AATTTACTCACGCATACTCATAACAAACCGTACGGTGGATCGTTTTGTCGGATACTCCGGTACTTTGATAGAACACTACCGATACACTAATGACACAAGCAACAAGCTATGTCGTCGACTTCCCGTTAAACGAAACAATCGGCAATCACATTACGATTTCACCTAGAGTTTTTCGATCTTATTTCGCCCGGTTTCGTTCTAGCGCAGTCACATTAAGCCCTTTGCCTTAGCACGCACGTAGTGGAGTAGCCGGTTAGCGATTTTGATCCTTTTTGAGCACGGGGTCTGGTACACGAGTGTGGTAACCCTTCATGTTTTATCCGATTCGGAGGTTGTGGGGGATCGAGCCGTAGCACGCCCTACCGAGTTCAGAACCAGTACCTCTGAACCAACTCGAAACGGATTCCTTCTCATATTTCTCGTTTCTTATCTGCGACCGTGTACTTTGGTGCAATTTCTTTTCATTTTGCATCGAGATATGAAGGATCATTATTGATTAGGCATCAAACGCTTATATTCATCGGCTCCCCACGTGGTTTGTGTTCAGACGGTGCTGACTGCTAGTATAAACTACTGGGGGTTACTTTTGAACTGAAACTAAAGGTGTACTCGCAATGGTAATCGGGATGGAATTGCTTAAGTAGGGAGTCAAAGATGTCAAGATTGTATTGATCTTGTTTAATCGTTCTTGGCTTCCTAGTTACGATTCCGTAGGTAAGTCGGGTAATGTGAATAATTAGAGATTTTATTTTTCTGGTACAGCTAAATAATCGGGGAAAGTTCGAGATTAAAGAAAATAGCGCACAGATTTGCTCATTTCATTAATTTGCTAAAAGAAATACAATGGAATTGAAAGTACAACGAAATGAAAAAGTGCGGAAATGAAAGGTACCTCTCCCACACTATATCAGACATTGTCCTCAATGTTGTGATATAAATGCGGTACAAATACAGTACAAGACTAAAACGAAAAACAAACATAAAGGTAAACTATGGCTGCTGAGGACCGCGGGCTCGGCCTCTGGTGCGAGAGCGGCGTCTGGAGGGAGTCGCGTCAGGATCAGAACCGGTGCCGGAGGTAGCAGTAATGCTAATGCGGAGCGCTTCTAGCTCGCTGAAAAGTTCTCCAAACCGCTCATTGGTGGCTTCCTGGTTTGCAGCAATAGTGCCGAGTAAAGCATCATACTGCGCCTTCTGCCTTCGCTCCAGTGCGGCGTTCATCTGGTTTTGCTGATGAATCGCAAGGAGGACTTCCTCAAGTGTAACTGCGGGAGCAGGGGCTGTCGGGTAGATGTCTCTGGGATATCCTGGACAGGCTCAACTGCATCCATAGCGTCCTGCATCTCGTCCGCTGGAGCGTCTGCCTGATCATCATGAACCGGGACGTGATCGGCAGCAGCAGGTAAAACAAAGAGCCAGTTGGCTCGGTTGGATGGATCGATGCGGGTGCGGGACGGCAGAGTGATGTGGTGGAAAATGGTGCCATTGACAACAGGGCTATACCTGCCATCCTCTCGCTGCGCGATCAGGTGGGCGGACCTGCAGTAGCTCTTGGTCAGGAATTCGGCGGCTAGGTGAGGCTGATTAACGAGCGCGTCACCAAGCCCCAACTGAATGGTGAGGGCGGTGACAATGCCGCCTATGAAGAACGGGGAGGAGCCTCTCTGTGCAATGGCCTGGATATGATGAAGCATGAACGGGGCAGCGTTGATCGGCTCGTCATTAAGCGCGCAGTGTAAGAACAGAAGCTCCTTGGAGTTGAGCTTATGGTTGCTTTCTCTAGTGAAGATTGTGTTGCAGATGACCCGGTGAAAATAGCGGATTGCCGGGTTGTGGATGTGTGTGGCGTTGAGGCTCTGGAAGGTGGATGCACGGGTGTTGGTTAAGTCGTGCCATAGAGTGAAAGCTTGTTCACTAAAATTATCGGGCACGCGACGGTGGGCTTCAGTTCCGTGATTGAAGCCTAACAGCTCGGCTATCCTGGTTTGCGGGAGGTTGAACTCTTGGCCGTGCAATCGGAATGTTGCGATGCCGGTGAGCTGACTCTGAGAACCGGGAGGGGTGATGTAACTGTAAGAGCTTAAGAACTCCAGCGTCAGAAGTTCGAAAGTGGGCTGAGGTTGACGGCAGAGATCCCACAGACCCACCTTTTGCAGTAGGCTTTGAACGCTGGCCAACATTCCGAGTTCCCGCAGACAGTCAGTGGCAATGTAGCGGGTAGGTTGCACACCGCGGTTTTGGAATCGGATGAAACGGTCTCTCTGGGTTACTCCAGCTTCACCTTCTCTAAAAGTGATGGAATCCATAGCATGCAAGAGTGAAGAGTGAGGGAAGAAGGTTTTTGTGAGGTTTTGTAAGAAAAATGGTAGAATGAGGGAGATAGAGGTTCGGGTTAAATAAGGGAGAGTGTTAATGAGATGGTTGATGATAATGGGGGGTTAATGGGGGTAATGGGGAGGTTACGGCGGTTATGGAAGGAATGGGTAGTTTTTGGGTAGGTTATGGAGGAAGAAGAAGAAGGGGCACGATGAGAAACAGTTCTGTTTCTCACGATTCCTGTAATAGGGATCGTCACGGTCGTGACAGGGGCGTGACGGTCGTGACACGCTAAATGAGCACGTCACGATCGTAAGATAGGTGTGACGACCGTGAGGGCCTGCTTGCTGAATAATTCGCAAAAAAGAGCATTTTCTCACGTGATTCATAAATTAGTTATAATTTATTTTCTTTAGTAACACTTATATTGAATACACACCATATTGTATATAATTTGCAACACAGTATTATACGAACTTGCATGAAAGATTGTATACATGAAATAATGCAGGCATAACAGTATATAGAAAAAATATATAAGTTGTTAAAAATGGAGAAATAATTGAAATTAAAGGTGCATTGCGTAAAGTAATTGAAAATGAAATTACAAAAACGGAAATTACGGTATGAAATTGTTGCGAAAGATAAATTTAACTAGAAACGAAAACAATGAGAAAAAATAAACTAAATCACTTATAGCCTTTTCAAAGGCGCTTCTTCAGGTCTTCGATGGCGGAGTCCAAGTGATAGAATTGTTCGCAGGCCATGTCAGTCAATCCTATAATGTCCAATCGCATGCTCTTAATGTCTTCTTTGAATAGATTAATGTCAGTTTGGTAGGCATTGAGAGTGTTCATGATGTTTTGTAAGTTGTTAGCATAATCTCCTTGATTCACTCCAGGGGTTTCATGTACTTTGTCAGTTGGGTCAATGTCATGGTAACCAGGAGGTGTCTCAGGATCAGTTTCAACAGCGGTCATTATATCATCTGTTATCCTGTGAGACTGAGGTGTTTCAGGAGTAGCTGGATAATCAGGTGGGTTTAACTCATACAGCCAGTTATCCTTATTGTGAACACTTACTCTAGCATGATTGGGCAATGTGAACAGGGTTACTACTTCGTTCCGGATTAGGTACTCAAAAGGTGGGCGTCCTAAATTCCTTATGATATGTCTATTGAAGCAGAATTTAAGATTCATAGGGCGGATTGTTCCTAGACGGTTGCACCTGTCCAGTTGGTACCTAAGTCCTATGGCATCAGCAATCATGGTTACAAGACCTCCTACTAATATAGGTAATTCAGGTTCTTCTTGGATGTGGGTGAAGGTTTGCATCATGAAAGGTACACCATTAACAGACTGTCCATTAGTGAAACATGACATAATAAATACTTCATCTTTAGAAACTCCGGTAATGTTTTCTTCTTTTCCAAAGAAGGTGTGGGCAAGGAATTTGTGGAAGTAACGGAGCAGGATTATGGATCTCATCATTATTCATGTTATTTGGTTCAGGGTGGTAGTTTCCGGTTAGAGTTCCCCAAAAGAAATCTAGCTCCACATCCATCAATTCTACCTGTGTGGTAGTAAAAGCAAATGGTCCACTAGGGAATCCTAACAAGTCAGCTAGTTCTTTATGGTTAAAGTCGTATTCTATTCCAAATAGGCGGAAACTAATAAATCCTTTCCTAAATCCAAAACCGCGCTCAGGTAAGTAAAGTAAGGAGCTAAGGAACTCAAGGGTAAGCTCGCGGTAAGTCGCAAACTTATGTTGGATCAATGCATTCTCCCATCCGAGTCGGTTGAACAAGTACATGACACTATCATGTATACCTAGGGTTTCCATAGTCTTATCATCTGGGTACAGGGTCAAATCCATTTGCCTCTGTGATAACTCTTCAAACTTCATTCTTTGGTTCCTACCTCTAAATTTGGTTTCCATATAGTTAATTGGTTGGTTAGCCATGGTCAATGCAAATATGGGGAAAACAAATCAGTGGAAAAGACTTTAGAAAATCTGTAAAAAGTGATTTAAGATAAAAATAAGAAAATGAAATGCATAATGTATGGCGATAATAGTAATGTAAAATAAAACTGACAAAACAATTTAAACAAATAGTAAAAACGATAGATAACAATGTGCTA